GATGTCGAAACGCCAGCTGAGTAAATCTTTCAGAATCCTAGACGTTAAGTTGGATGGCATAACACTTAGGATGTCGAAACGCCAGCTGAGTAAATCTTTCAGAATCCTAGACGTTAAGTTGGATGGCATAACACTTAGGATGTCGAAACGCCAGCTGAGTAAATCTTTCAGAATCCTAGACGTTAAGTTGGTTGGCATAACACTTAGGATGTTGAAATGTCAGCTGAGTGAATCTTTGATAGATCATAATCAAAAGAAAGTCAACTTAATATCATTCTTGTCATGAAATGACTAAAGTTATGTAGGTCTATTAAAAACTGTAGGTCTATACATTAAGTTAAATACAAGCTGCAGGTCTATAAATTAAGTTAAATACAAAATGTAGGTCTATAAATTAATTTAAATACAAAATATAGGTCTATAAATTAATTTAAATACAAAATGTAGGTCTATAAATTAAGTTAAATACAAAATGTAGGTCTATAAATTAATTTAAATACAAAATGTAGGTCTATAAATTAATTTAAATACAAAATGTAGATCTATAAATTAAGTTAAATACAAACTGTCTGTAGATCTATTAATTAAATTTTAAAAAAAACTGTAGATCTATTAATTAAGTAAAATGCAAGCTGTAGAAAATTTAATTACGTTAAATACAAACTGTTGATTTATTAACTAAGTGAAATCCAACTTTAGGTCTATATTTATTGCACTGTTTACTACAATTTCCTGTTGTCTATTTTGTTAATTTTTTTTTTCTTTATTCATTGATATTTTTGGGATTCTATGTTTGAGTTTCAAAACATGGAAATGCCCATGATGGAGGGCAACTTTATAAAACAGATCTCTGCGATGCTCAATGCTAGCATATGGTTGTTTTCACAAACGAACTTTTTATTAAAAAAATGGCATATACATGTTTATTATGTTTTCATTTAAGAAATTCTCAACCACATTTTAAAACATTAAATTCAATTAATATTGATTTAACATTAAAATTAATCATTTTCAACTCTGCATAACGTACAATTTAAAAATTGCATTTTATATTGATTTAACATTAAAATTAATCATTTTCAACTCTGCATAACGTACAATTTAAAAATTGCATTTTATATTGATTTAACATTAAATTAATCATTTTCAACTCTACATAAAGTACAATTTAAAAATTGCATTTTATATTTAAAATTGAGTTATCAATAAAATGTTAACAAGGTACAGTTAAAAAAGTGGAAAATAACTTGACATGAAAGAGTTGTCATACAATCAAATAATCCCTCTTCAAGTTAACACTGACATAATGGAAGTGGCATCAAAGGCACAATGGTGACTACACTGAAATTAAACTGAAACTACACTGAGACTACACTGAGACTGCACTGAGACTGCACTGAGACTACACTGAGACTACACTGAGACTGCACTGAGACTACACTGAGACTACACTGAGACTACAGTGAGTCTACACTGGGACTACACTGAGACTACACTCTGACTTCACTGTGGCTACACTGTAACTACACTGAGACTACACTGAGACTACACTTAGACTGCACTGAGACTACACTGAAACTACTCTGAGACTACACTGAGACTACACAGAGATTGCACTGAGACTACACTGAGACTGCACTGAGACTACACTGAGACTACACTGAAACTACACTGAGACTACACCGAGATTACACTGAGACTACACTGAGACTGCACTGAGACTACACTGAGACTACACTGAGACTACACTGAGACTACACTGAGACTACACTGAGACTACACTGAGACTGCACTGAGACTACACTGAGACTGCACTGAGACTGCACTAAGATTACAATGAGACTACACTGAGACTGCAGAGAAACCACATTGAGACTACACTGAGACTGCACTGAGACTACAGTTAAACTACACTGAAACTGAAACTACACTGAGATTGCACCTATTTTATCTTAAACTGTTACTTGTTCACTTTAAAATAAATTTTACTACATAAATGTTTATCCTACATATTACTATTGTAAAAATTGAAAGAAAATTTTAAAAAATTTGACACATCATAGAGATATCATAACTATTCAACATGGGATGGTGTAGTTACTGTAAAATAAAATAAATACCATCTTCGGCGATAACGACATTTGTAATTTGTGGTAAACAAGTGATTACTAGAATGGACTAGAACTACCAGGTAGTGCATGACAAGAATAATCCAATAGTCTGACGGCTCTCTTACACCGGTCTCAACACATAGTACATGACAAGAATAATCCAATAGTCTGACGGCTCTCTTACACCTGTCTCAACACAACAATATTACAAAATCATAAACGCTGGTCCGGGTATAGACATTTTCAAAGACATCTTGCTCCGGAGAGCAACCTTTAGAAAAACCACGTGACCTTTGACGTCATCAACAGGTAACAGCCGAGTGACGTTAAAACTCCTCCGATGAAGACTGCCACGGATGATGTCCTGATGCATTGGCTCTGCTGTTCCGCTCGACTGACACACTCATGGTAGGGAATGTCTGGTCTGAACGCAACCTAAAGAAAGAATGGAAACAAGGGGGTGGGGCGGGGGGATTGCGTTTCTAATCCAGGTTGTGATTGGCTGATGGGTTCGTTAACCGCGTTTTAATTGGCTGACAGGTTTGTAAAGGGAATAGTGCAAAAAGGTATGGGGAAACTTGAACTATAGCTGGACAATAATGAAAACCAAACTCTAAAAAAATAAACGCAGTTTTTACTATAAATGCTTTACATGACATTGATGTGATTGTAGCAATTGTTTATAAGGTTTGGTTTTTTATTATTGTCTTGTCTTTATAATTCAAGATTCCACATAATTTTTTGCGATAGTTACTTCACACACCTTGAACGCGGTCTTTCATTCATCATCTTAAGTTTGTAAAACATGTTATACATGGCTGATGGGTGTATAAACCATGTTGTAATTGGCTGATTTAAAGCTAATTTTATTTTGCTGTGAAATGAATGGCGAGCACTAGGTTACTTATGTTGCTTTGCTAAATAAATTGCATTATGTGTGTATCTGAGATAGTAACGTGTTAAAATCACCCTCTGTGGGACCGACTTGTTATGGACTGACTAGACACACACTGTGTAGTAGGCGAATCGTCTTAAGGCCTAACTTTAAAACTCATTACATTTATACTCATTACATTTATACTCATTACATTTATACTCATTACATTTATACTCATTACATTTATACTCATTACATTTATACTCATTACATTTATACTCATTACATTTATACTCATTACATTTATACTCATTACATTTATACTCATTACATTTATACTCATTACATTCGAAATCATCAATGTCCAGCTCATTAATTTCCAATACACCCCCCCCCCACACACACTTTATGCTAACATCCGACGTCACTTACCATGGTGTATTCTGGGATCCACCAGTTCGGGAATACCCTGTGGAGTCCATTGTCTATCATGTGACGCACATAGTAAAGAGGCCCGGAGATGTCTTCCCTTAGCTGTGGAAATATTCAAGACTTTCAGTAACTAGCGGGGAAAAAAAATGTATCGCGGTATTATAATACATTTTTGACGTCATTAGTACCTATAAATGCACGTACTGTTGTGGAATAGAGGACAGCTCATTTTTATCCAATTTTATCCTATTCGACAGGACACCCGTTGACTCATTTTAAAAAGCAATTTTTAACACACATGTTATTTGATTTTAATCAATGAGAGGATCTGATCCTATATTATCTGATCGGATCTCATCTGATCCTATCTTATCTTATCGTCTTGCCGCCCGATTACCTCACGGTAGTGTTGACAGGCCAGGTCATGGATAGCGTGTCCGTCCTGGCACCGACCATCAGAGTAAGCCTGGAGAGCCTCGTCGATGTGCTCTGGTGAACACGGTGAAGAGAAAATGCTTGAAATTTATTGTCTAACATTTTATACAGTGGCTGTGTGTATGGGTGGGTAGTTTGGTGTGTAGGTATGGGTGGGTAGTTTGGTGTGTAGGTATGGGTGGGTAGTTTGATGTGTTAAACTAAAACGATGGTCTGGGACTTAATGCCATACATACTTCTTAAATGCGAAGGACATTCTATTTAACACGGTCCTGCGTTAGAAAATGTTTTCTACCTTTCTGATAGTTGAATCTCTCCAAATTCTCGTGAAGAAAATTGCAGTCTTCAAATCCCTGTTATGATGCAAAAAAAACAAAATTTTTTAGAAGAAATTTAAACAACTTTTTTTCTTCATTTTAGATCGATCACCGGCCTGGTCACAATTTCTAAATTATACAATTTTTTTCCCTTTAAAATATTGATTTATTCTTACGAACGTTAACTACATTTCAGCATTCTGCACAGATTGATTATCGAGAATCACCCAAAACGTTATAAATTCGAATGTGATATTGTATAAATAGGTTTGTCGATTTTCGCCACTTTTGAATTTTGTGATTTTGAGTTTTTTTTGGTTTTTTTCAATCGTCAAAGTTTTCGTATGTTTTACTACATACTCTACCGTAAGTTTTCGTATGTTTTACTACACACTCCACCGTAACCAAGTTACACAAACGTCAAACGATATTTTTTTTTAACCTCCAGCCTTCAACCAAAACAATTGTTACTTTGTCTACTGCGTCTTCCTTTGACCATAATAACCGATTGTTACATTGCTCACTGCATTCATTCTTTGACCATAATAACCGATTATGACATGACTTACTGCATTCATTCTTTGACCATAAAAACCGATTATGAAATGACTTACTGCATTAATTCCTTGACCATAATAACTGAATATTACATGACTTACTGCATGAATTCCTTGACCATCATAACTGGCATGACATACTGCATGAATTCCTTTGCCATAATAACTGATATGACATACTGCATTAATTCCTTGACCATAATAACGGAATATAACATGACATAGTGCATTCATTCTACTGACCATAATAACCAATTATGACATGACTTACTGCATTCATTCCTTGCCCATAGAAAGGCACCACGGCGTGGGCTGCATCCCCAACGAGCACCATTCTACCTTTGCTGTGGTAAGGCCTCACCTGTCAGGTGATGAAATTAAATTTTTGAACTTTGATTGAAGCGAATGTCAATTTAATACTGGGTCTATCACTACGTCAATGCATTAAAAGTAGTTATCTGGTAACTGTCAACACATGCAATTAGTTGACTTTGCTATGATGATTGTACATGAAAGGAGGTCTTGCTTAAGGTGTTGTTGATCAAGAGATCACTGCAAGAACAAAATACCTTGTTGGAGACAAGGTACCCGGGTCTTGTCTTGCCACTTCCGGTAAAGTGTTGGACCAGGTATTCGCTGTAGCACACAAATAAATAGACAGCATAATTAGATTATGATTTTTATATAAATTGTTTGAAGAAAATATATAATTTTTTTTTAAAATTCCGAATTTGTAATAAATGTCTCCAGCTTCTACCTAGATCTTTCTTTTTCCACACGTACTCTTCATCTCTTCCTATTTATCTAACGCTTTGTGTACTTACATTTCACTCCCACACTCCCACTCCCTCATTCTTATTCTGTTTGTTCCCCATTCTCTTTATCTTACATGTAATATTATTTTAGGGCCTGAATGCCCTCTCTTCTCTCTCTTTCTCTCTCTTTCACTCTTTCTCACTCTCTCTCTCTCTCTCTCTCTCTCTCTCTCACTCTCTCTCTCTTTCTCTTCTATCTCTGTATTCATTTCACTTTCTCTATCTATCTTTCTCTCTCTCAAATTCTCTTTCACCACACTCTCTCCCCCTCTCTCTCACACACACAGTCAGTCTCGTTATCTTTCTTCCCCCCGTCTCTAAAGCAGGTGAGACAATGCGTCTCCGCTACACCTGAAAGCAAGCTAACAGCAACTTACCTGCCTACTAAGGGCACCAGGTCAGTGAACGTTGAGTGAAAAAAATCCAGAAGCCTTTTTGGACAGCCCAAAATGTCCTTGAACTTGTCAGCTGGCATGAACAGTGTCCCCGAGAACGTGCCGTCAACGTTTGGCAGCAGGATGAGCATCAGGTCTCTACGTGGCCACACATGCAGCTTGCTGGCATCTAGTTTGTGCTGTACGGTGGTGACATGATATGTGGGTAACATGATATCAAGTATGATTAGATTGTGACATGATATCAGGTATGGTTAGATTGTGACATGATATAAAGCATGGTTATGTGGGCAACATGATGTAACGTATGGTTAGGTTGTGACATGATATCAGGTATGGTTAGATTGTGACATGATTTCAAATATGGTTAAATTGTGACATAATATCAGATAGTGTTAGATTGTGACATGATATCAGGTATTGTAACGTTGTGAAATGATATCAGGTATGGTTAAATTGTAACATTATGGCATAGTTCGATTGCATCATGATATCGGGATGGTTAGATTGTACCATGAAAAACGGTGTTTTTAGTTGCTTTTAAACATAATATCTGATTTAGTTAATTGGTTACCCGATATTTTTTTAGAGTTAGTTTGTAACAAGAATCCATGGTAGTTTATTTGCTACAGGAGATCAGAAAAAAGTTGATTCGTTTCTGATGAGATGTTTGGGTTTGCTAGCTGATCATAGTTTTTTACTTTCTTTTCTTTTGTTTTTTTTTAGAGGTTCTTTTTGGGTGTTTTTTGTTATTCCCCTTTTCGGAATACAATAATTGGTAAATTGCCACAGAGATCTTCAGTAAAAAAACAACAACAATTCGTTGCTACAAAACAGACCTTGCCATCAGCTGTGGCCGGCACCAACAGCTCCGTGTATTGATGATCATGGTAGTTCTGTCTGAAGTAGCGGATGTCCTTGCTGTTGAACATCTGCTGTCGGACCTTCGAGTGGGCGCCGTCCGCCCCGATGATCAGATCTCCATGGAAGTGCACCGTCTCCGGCGCCTCGTCGCCACTGTGACAATGGTGGGACACATGATGTCAAGATTAATTCCAAGTGTTTTTTTTTTTTTTTTTTTTTTTCTTTAATGTCAATGCCTAAGCTTACGGGGTACATTGGGATACCGTGGGTAACAGTAGGGTACAGGGTTGTACAAAGCCACTGTGACAATGGTGGGACACATGATGTCAAGATTAATTCCAAGTGTTTTTTTTTTTTTTTCTTTTTTTCTTTAATGTCAATGCCTAAGCTTACGGGGTACATTGGGATACCGTGGTGAACAGTAGGGTACAGTGGTGTACAGTGGGGTACAGTGGTGTACAGTGGAGTACAGTGGTGAACAGTAGGGTATAGTGGGGTACAGTGGTGTACAGTGGGGTACAGTGGTGAACAGTAGGGTACAGTGGTGTACAGTGGGGTACAGTGGGGTACAGTGGGGTACAGTGGTGTACAGTGGTGTACAGTGGTGTACAGTGGTGTACAGTGGGGTACAGTGGGGTACAGTTGGGCACAGTGGGGTACAGTGGGGTACAGTGGTGTAGAGTGGTGTACAATGGGGTTCAGTGGGGTACAGTGGTGTAGAGTGGTTTACAATGGGGTACAGTGGGGTACAGTGGGGTACAATGGGGTACAATGGGGTACAGTGGGGTACAGTGGGGTACAGTGGGGTACGGTGGGGTACAGTGGGGTAAATTGGGGTACAGTAGGGCACAGTGGTGTACAGTGGGATAAATTGGGGTACAGTGGGGCACAGTGGTGTACAGTGGGGTACAGTTGTGTTCAGTGGTATACAGTGGTGTAAAATGGTGTACAGTGTAGGTATCCATCAGATGGTACCGTCAAACAATGACTTGGTAAATTGCCACAGAGATCTTCAGTAAACTACTAGCAGTAGAGTTTATGAGTCTTAACTCATATCTTGAGTCTCGACACACTATTGCTTATTGCCTGTTAACATCAAATGTATCATATTTATTATTCTAATTCTTTTCTATTTTAGTATCTTCCCTCATTTTTTTTCTTTAATTATTGTTATGTTATTATTTTATAATTATTTTGTTTACTATTTTATTAATATTATTATAAAATTATTATTATTTTCTCCAAATTAGTTTTAAATAAGACTTGTCGTCGGTTTGATGACCAGTTCGTTCAAATGCCTTGATGACCAGTTCGTTCAAATACATAACCTTTTATTATCACTTTTCTTTTTTATTAAAACACCTGAAATCATCTCCATTTCAAAAGAAATGATACAATTGCTAATGATAATGCACTCAAGATACCTATGATTTAAATATCACGATAACAATTATTGCTAATGATAATGCACTCAAGATACCTATGATTTAAATATCACGATCAGTAATTTTTCCAGTAACACGAATTGCTTACTCTTTGGTTACTCTGAATTCAGCGCAGCCCTCCTTCCAGCTGACAAAGCTGTGGTTGAAGTAGAGTTGGATGTGTTTGTTCTGTTCAGCCTCTGTGTAGGAGAAACTCGTATGGATATATATACACATGCGCTTCAAAACACACTAGGCCAACAAACAAAATTTGCTGCACAATGAACGTATTAAATATTATGACCCCCCTCAAAAAAAAATGAATTCTTGTTGAAATGTTTTATTAAATTCAAAATGACAATAAAACAGAGCAAGACAATGTGTTATGCTATTTTTGTTTAAACTGCTCAGCTACAATGTTCCAGGTAAAGGCTACACAGGAGAGATCACATACCTTGAATGAGATGCTTGTTAAACTCTGTCCGCCTCACCGATATCAGCGTCTGTGAAAGAAAGGACGAAGAATTTCTAAAATGAATCGTAAAGCCTTGTCTGTGTAATGCAGCGGTTCTCCACCTGTGGGTCGCGACCCCTTTGGGGGGTGTCGAACGACCCTGACACAGGGGTCGCCTTAGAAGATCGGTAAACACATATTTATGAAGTAGCAACGAAAATAACTTTATGGTTTTTTTTTTGGGGGGGGCACCACAACACGAGGAACTGTATTAAAGTTTCACGGCATTAGGAAATTTGAGAACCGCTGGTGTAATGGATGTTTTACAACCCTGGTTTAGATATTTGTTTTGCCTGATAGTAAACCCAGGACCCAGGCAAACAAGGACATGACGCGCATGATACAAATGCATACAGACATAAATATATATTAAATATGTATGTGAAATGGATAAAGGTTTGAAATTATTATGCTTCTTAGGTTTTTGCGTAAAACGTTATTACTTTTTTGTAAACCTCACCCTATTAGGATACATTTATCAGATAATTACTGTCTTGTAATCAACACAAAAAAAACAAAACAACATTGTTAGCTTACCCTGTTATGTTATTTTATTTTAGGGTTATTTATGTGGCATACTACTAAAACTTATAGCTGTTACTTTCAAAAAAAAAATTATATATTGTAAACGAATTTTAATTTAGGCTGTTAATTTAGAGTCAGGTAAACCTGGATAATATCGCAAATACGTTTCGTATGAGGCAAACTGTTTAAATCACAAGGTTAATAAACCATACCATAAATTTTTACTTGATAAATTTCTGAAGTTTGACTGGAAGATTATTTATCCTGAGTTTTAGGTGCGGGAGACTTGATCGTTTGGGATCGTCCATTTAACACGGCAACAATTTTCACGCAATTTTGGACCCTCTCCCCCCTTGTCAACGACTGTCAAACGTTCAATGACCCTCTCCCCCCTTGTCAACGACTGTCAAACGTTTAATGACCCTTCTCCTATTTAATTATGTCCACCTTTTATGCCCCCCTCCCCTCCCGAAAAAAGAGTGAATTAAAATATAAATAATTTTATAATAAATACAATTTACTTGGTGCTGATGTATTTTAATGACACAAAATAAATTTTAGGAAAAACATTTCATTACAGGTTTAGCTTGTTAATTAACAAGTTAAAAAAAAACGTACACTTAAATTTTATAATGCAGAATCAATTAAAAGTTTGTTACAGACTAAATATCATTGTTTTTGGAAGTATACAATTTTAATGGAGAAAACATTACTGTTGAAGTCAACTAATCTAAACCCTCTTCCCTCGGCTTGTCAACAACTGTCAAACATTTCCAGATCCCCATCGTCTCCCTTTTTTGTTGACTTAATCAATGGACGCCCCCTTTAGAACAATTTTTTTATTTCTGTGAACGATTTTTGGGTTTACCCAATAGGAAATATTGGGAATTCCCGAATACGATTTTTAATTAACCACAAACGCGTAAGGCGAAGCAGGTAACATTGTGGGCCCGGGCGGGAGGAGGGGGGAGGAGGGTGAGAGAATGTGACCTGTCATTTCATAGTTCCAATTAGGATGCCATGAAAAAACATTTTTATCATCTAACATGGAAAGTGGAGGTCTGAGTTTGCATGAACATATGTTTCTAATGTCATAGGGGGAGGAGGGGGAGGAGGGGGGAGGAGGAAGCGCATTGGGGGAAGTAAGCGGAATCAATTTTCTCCGAAAAGTATAATTATTAGTAAAACAAGTTGCATGTGTGTGTTGTTAGTCATGTCAGACGTAATTTAAGGCGCTTAACAAGGAGTGGCCCTGGTCGGGTCAAAGTCACAGCCGAATGCCAGCAACCATCAACTGTTTGTGGGTAAGTAAGTTAGTGATAGCTCCGCCAAGCCCGGTCCAAAAGCCCCGGGGGCAAAAGCAGGACGGTTGGCGTGAGGCCGGCTACCTCAACCGTAAAAACAAACTGCTACAGCAACGTCAACAAGAAAAAAAAAGGTTAACAATGTCAAAGGTTAAAGGTTAACTTTACTGAAAAACGAATCATAAATGATGACCATTTATGTATTTATTAAATTTGTAGTCTTCTTACATTTATTTAAACCATGAAGAGTAGAGAAGAGTGCTATTATTTGGACATAATTTGTAGCTTTTTTCCAATGTCCCCTGGGCTTCGTCCCAATGACGTCATGGTATAGAACTACGGCTACAGTAATAGTCTTAAAAAACGTGTGTCAGCGACTGTTTCATCATACTCTGTTTCCTAAGACATATTGCGCCACAGTACTGGAAAGGCCTGACGTTTGAGAAAAATGAATCATGACGCCGTATCAGGATTTCCCCATAATTGCACGCAGCAAGGTAATGTTCCTCATTTCTTGGAAAAGCTGACTTTTCAAAGCAAACTTT